TTAGGGGAATATACTCTTTACATACCACTTTGGGTAGAGCGCTACCTAGAATTAATTTTAGGATTCTAAATTTTAGGGATATAGTTTCTTCAACTCATATATTAACTTGATAAAAAAATTATTAATTGCACCCTCAATATACTTGAAAAAAAATACCTCGAGATCGAATAAAAACCATCTAATTTTTTTATGGTTAGATCTAAGCATTAGAAAACTCAATTTTAGATTTTCTTGTTTTGAGAATAATTATCGAGGGGTTTTTAAGTGATTTTAAACATTGTAAATAAAAAAAAATTCTCTGAAGTAGATCTTCTGATCGAGGGAGTATAAATAAATCATGCTCCCAAAGGAGCATAATAGGGGTGCTCATGATAATAATAGTGGCACCAGTTACTTAGAACCGACCTTTGCTTTGAACAATTGACTATAAGAAAAGTTATTTCAAGTTGGATGTCATTTCTACAATATGCAGTCTAGAGGTATAAAACATCTATTTTAAAGATGAATGCAAATAAGTGGTTTATCTAAAAACTACTGTAACTAACCGTTCAAATATTTTTTTAATATAATTATTATTTTCATTTTCATATTCATAATCTTCATATTAAAAATTATATATTCACTAAAAATTAAAATCAAATTATATTTAAAAAATATATTTATTACCAAGCGTGCATTTCTACCCTATGCGGGCTGGCAGCATAGAAACCGTATCCCGACAATAATCTCCCACTTTTTTCTTCTTCTTAAACGTCTGACACGTATATCACAAGCGTGTCACGCGATTCATGAACCTTTTTATTATATTATTATTATTATTGTTCGAGTAAAAGTCGAAGGACCCTATTTTGTCTCATTGATCCGAAGAGGAAATAAAAGAGAGTATAGAAAAGTAAAAAACGAGGTGGTCTTGGGGACAGCGTTGTACATCTGATCCTGCATATCCTCCCCTTCCCCCTCTCTTTTAATATATATATATATATATATATATATTCTATCATATCCATACATTACGTGGTCGATATGACTGATTATAGGTTTTTTCGATGTTATCCGCTTATCTTTTAAGGGTAGATTTTTTAGGTGTACTTTATTTATGCATAACAAGGTTGATATCTTATATAAACTTTTTCTTTTTAAAAGAAAAGGGTCCATTAAGGTCATCCCGTGGATTGGAGGGTGCTTCTGGAAATACAGAAAAGGAGTGGTAACCCTTAATGCAAAAGTACCCTAAACCATATGACCTTTAGAATAAACCATCTGTGTCTTGAAACCAACCCTTTTAGCATCTAATGAGGGCATTAATATACATTTTGCAATTTTGTATGCAAATAATTAATGAGAGGAATCTCATAACAAAGTTAAAGCATACAAGGGCCCACTTCCTTATCTTGATAATCCTCCTTTGGGAACCCCTAAGTTGTCTTCTTTTCTTTTTATTCTCCTCTTTCCATTTCAATTTTTATTTTTATTTTTAAGAAAAAGGGTTATTTTCTATTTCCTCAAATAAATGACTTTTACCCCTTCCCTAGTTGCCAATTTAATTTAAAGGTTTGTATAGAGCCTAGGCTCCAAACAAACAAATTAGAGTCTACCTTCAAATAATGTCTAGAAATGTGGTTTCAACATTATAAATCTTTGTGACAGCCTTAAAATATATTTTCATATTTATTTATAAAATTTAAAGCTTAAAAAATAGTGTAGATCGACATATCTATAAAAACTTGAAAATCTTGAAAATTAACTGTCCAAAAATATATTACAAAATCACTATTTTCAAAACTTGAAATCCATTTTTTTCTCATGTCCATGCATAAGATGTTGAGATGATCAATTTGAAGATATTTGGGCAGCAAAACAATCTCTTCTAGTAACAGTTTTGAGGTCGGCTGTAATTTGATTGTTTAGAGCCTCGGCTCCATGTAAACTTTTGCGAAACATGTTCTCCAGTTCCCATGTGACCGTGTATTATAGTCCCGGGGAGACCACCACGCATATTTAATTCCACGCTTAATCACGGGTTCCTGCAGTCACCTCCACTGCCTCCTAAGACCAATTTGGACAGAGACAAGAAAGAATCAATTTGAGCTGAACAGATGCCATATTATTCGTCGATCAACATGATCAGTCCAGATTCTAGCATATTTTGGTTTATGGGTTCCAAATCAACTTTATTGGATATATATATATATTTATATATATATGTGTGGGGAAAAAGCTCCTGTGAGCCTATAGGCTCATAGAACGGCGTAAGCCCAACAGCCCAAATTGAATCTGAACCGATCCAATGATCACAATTATATTTCGTAATTGAATTTTAATTTTTTTATATAAATATAAATTACTTGAAATTTGGAGCGTATATTCTTCAAGAATAGTAGACTCTAATAAATATATTAAAAAATTAATTCGTACTAATTAAATTGACCAAAATACCCCTAAAAAGTTTCAGGAG